CAGGGTACATTGGTAACCTGCAGGGCAAAGTGCCATATGATAGGAAATGTACATGCAAAAATTTAAACTGATAGGAGAAAGGTTTGTGTAAAATGTTATGATTTGTCAAACCACATAAAGACCACACTCCAATAGAAGCATTGAGTGTAATTGTAATCTACATAATGAAAGAATGAAAAAATACCAGTTTTTAATACTTTCCAAGCCTTTGACACAACTTAATCTGAAATCTTAACCAAAGCAGCTCTAGAGGGAGCTAATCCATTTACATTTATTGCATAAATATATGCATATATATATATATATAGTTTTTTTAAGGCATCTCAAACTTTAGCTGTGCTATTAACCAGAGCAACAATTTATTCATGATTATACAGTAGTAATGATCTTCAGGCTTATAAACAGCAGTAGTATCAGCTCTGATCAGATGGAAACGTGTTTTTTAAATTTTCTTCAGAATATTCTTTCTTGTACAAGTAATTCATGTGCTATAACTTTCACAGTACATAAGCGTAATACTTTCACAATACATACGTGTAATATATATATCTACGTGCAACCCACAGTGGCCTCTTTTAGTAAGTCCCCTTGGACTTAAAAATATAAGGAGGAGTAAGTACTCTGAGTGCCATGGCCACGAGGCCACAATTCAGGGAAATAAAATTATATGTTCTTTTTTTTTTACTTAGAGTGAAGTCAACTCAATTCAGAGTTTTCTTTTCCATTAGGTTGACAATATTGTTTATGGTTAGACTAATAATTCTCAAAACCTAAAACCTTGAACTAAAAATATTCGAAAGACTTCATTGCAGAGAACCCCTGTATCATCAGCTTCTTCTTGCCTTTAAAGGAAATCAAGGTATCTCCTTGCCTTAAGTTAACTTAAAATTCAATTTTGATTTGGTGAAAGTTAAAAAGTCTTTGTGGACTTTATGGAAAGTAACTCATGGCAGAGTTCTTGGGAAAAAAAATCCAGGTGAAAACTACAAGAGTTTTATAAGTACAAAAAGGGAAATTGGGAACTTTTAGGATGACAAGAAGCATTTATAGTAGGCCAGGAATTTATTAAAAGAGAATAGCAGGTACATCATTTGAGGTCTTGAAGAAAGCCATGGTTTGTGTAATAAGTTAGGTGGACAGAAAAGGCGGGTTCTGCAGCAAGATGGTGGCAACTCTGTGTAAGGGCTGCACCAACATGGAAGGAAACAAAAGCAGCTGCAGCTGAGCTGGTTCTCCCACACCTCTCCTGGATCACGGGTCTTTATCTCACCAATCTTCCATAGTTGCCAAATATTTTTAATTCTTACTCTGGAAGAAAAAATAATAACTAATGCATTTTCCCCTCAATTTCAGCCCCACCAAAAAATGTTAAGAATAATATGAGCCTAGGGCTGGGGTTGTGGCTCAGTGGTAGAGCACTTGCCTAGCACGTGTGAGGCACCAGGTTCAATTCTCAGCACCACATAAGAATAAATAAATAAAGGTCCATCAACAACTAATAAAAATATTTTTAAAAGAATAATATGAGCCTTTATGTGTATGTCCTATGTTTTTAATCTATTGAAAATACTTGATGTTTATTATATTGGTTAAGCTTCTATTAGATTAGAAAATATAAAATAGTAAAGGAAAGAGAACGTTAATTACATTTAACCTAGCATGAAAGGACTATGAGTAGATCAGTGGGTAGAATTAAGAGGAAACAAAAATATTAGGTGACAGGATCCACTATTTTTCAATAATTCTGACATCATCAATATAATTTGTAGAAAGGCCTAGACATTATATATTTTACAAATGTAATAATTATGAAGTGGTGTTAATTATCAGTTTTTCTCAAAGCTTACTTCTGTCTTGGCTGTTTTTTAAGAATTTTTATATTCCTTATTGATATGGATTCGGACCAATTTCTAACCATTTTTTAAATGTCCAAATCACTGAAATACTGTGTATATATAAGCTGGGCATAATGGTGCATGCCTATAATCCCAGCTACTCAGGATGCTAAGGCAGGAGGATCTCAAATTCAAGGCCAGCCTAGGAAATTAAGCAAGAACCTGTCTCAAAAAAAAAAAAAAAAAAACTAAAAAAGGGCTAGGAATGTAACTCAGTGGTAGAGCACTTGCCTAGCATGTGCTAGATTCAGGGTTAAATTCTCAGTACTACATAAAAAGATGAGAGGTCATTAAGCAAAGGTTTATTTATGATAAGAATATTATATATTACTGAAAATTAGACTCCATGTGATACTGATAAAAGAACATATATATCCAATCAAGTCACAATTGTGTCATTTTGTATCTGTTTGGCCTGTAACCTGTTTCTTAACCTGTCTCAGGTTCAGTTCCCTCATCCACAAATAGGAAAAATAATGTAAGTTCTTCATAAATTTCAATATGACTTGAGAATAAAATGGGAATTAATTCATACTCATTTTCAAATTTGTTGACTATTCAGACACAAATAAAATATATATACACAAATATTAATTGTAACTGTAGCATACATAGCCTACTAAGCCATGAAGCTTTAAGATGTTGATATTGATGTGTGAAATAACTCTCTATACTATAAACAAAAATTTAATATCATCCTCTCTTTTTGAAAGATTTTTTTTAGTTCAGTTGATCTTAAATTGTTAAAAAAGATCATATACTGAGTACTTCATAGTTTGTTTAAGAGCACGTAGAGACATTTAGATCACAAATACTTACCATGTTTTAGAGATAAAGATCTTTTTGAAAATCTCATGAAAGCTAAGGATTCTTTCCCCAGAAAAATATGCACATATAGACAAAATTTTTCAAGGCATTATAAGGTGTTCATATTCATGGATCCTAAGGCTCCAACTCCATCTTAGGTTGACATATGGGAAGGACTTTGAGGACATAGCTTTCTCTTTTTCATATTTTTTAGTTTTCCAGACTGTTCTGATCTTCTATTATAGACCATATTATAGAAGTGTCTGCCCAACTGCGCCTCCATTCACTCCTTGTTTTAGCTATACTTCATCTAAGACTGACATCTCTGAAACAATTCTGATTCAGTCTACTCCTACAGCTGCCACTCTCCAGTCCTTTTCATCAGTGCTTATTCACAGTGAAAGGCAGTAAGTGAGGGAAGGGCAACTGATCCAAGCTAACAAATGCAAGGCGCAGTTGTTTTAGACAGAAATGGCAGTTGTGAATAGTTGTTGTACTACTCAGGCTGCAGAAATGCTGAGACAAATATAAATGTTGTGAAAAATTAGACATAAAATTATCACCAAATTCACAATTCTACTAATCCTAAACAGTCAAATACTTGATAGTGCTTGGTAATGCAAATAGTTTAGAAAAATAAGAGTAAGGGCCTCTAATTTCTTTGTTAGCCAGATGGATTCACTATCGTGGTATTTTGTTTTTTATAAGCTAATCTTGGTTTAATTTGTATATTTGAGTGTCAGTATAATCTAATGAGCCAATATTTTTAACGTAAAATCTAGAAAAAAGTAGCATTCTACTTAACAACTAATGTGAAGTATTGAATTAGAGCATTATCTTAGGCTTTTCAAAATTATTATTTGTACTGTAGGTGAATTTTGCAATAATATGATGTTGATAACCAATACTGATTTAAGATTTAATATAAGCAGAAATCAGAGCAGGAAGATTTCAGGTGTAAAAATGCTGCTTAGTAAGCTCTAAAGCTGAATTAGATTCCCATCAGGTAATGTTGAGAGGAAATGCACATATTCAATTTTTTTTTAAATTACCACTCCTTTTTTATCTTTTTTAGTTGTAGATGGACACAATACCTTTATTTTATTTGTTTATTTCATGTGGTTCTAAATCGAAATCAGTGCCTCACAAGTGCTAGGTGAGCACTCTATTGGCTACAACCCCAGCTCCTACATATTCTGTTTTTAAAGAAATTTTAAAGAATTAGACATTTTTAATTCAGAATGCCAAAAGGCAACATTTGGTATCAGATGTATACCTTGCAGTCTTCCCTGTATGAGCTTTCATCAACATTCACAATTCTTCCTTTTTTTAAAAGTGCACTGTTATATAATTGGTGGACAATTTATATAAATTAATGACAAATGAGAGAAAATTTGTTCTTTTTGTTTAATATAAGAATTTAAAGGAAGAAAAGATATTTGATGCCAAGAAAGAGAGGGCCTTACTGTGAAATTTGTCTATTTATTTTCTTGTAGTTCTAAGTTTGTATTAAACTTTCTAACTTTTATGCCAAATTAGGATCATTAGTGTTAGTAGATTAAAATGTTTTGGGATTGTTTTGATGTAGAATTTTATTTTTCAGTTTCTGGCAAACCACTGACAAATTTGTCAGTATCTCAAGCTGAGTGATCTTTTTTTTCTTTTTAGAAGCTATTTATAGACATAACATTCTATAGGAAAAAAAAGTTTAAGTATAATAGTTTGCCAAAATAAAGAAATAAAATATTGAAAAGAGAAATAATGTTGATAAGACTTTGGGGGAAAAGAAGGATTTTTGCAGGCATTTAAAACACCAAGAATTACAAGGCTGTGGTGAAGAACAGGCTAGTTAAATTGAAGTTAAAACAAGATATCTTTCTTTACTGATCTGCCATGTACTGAAAATTAGTAGAAGTTAGTCCTAAGTAGCTAACAGTGAACCCCAGGTGCTAACTTCCCTGAAGCAATGAAATTGGAAGTGATGGAAAAAATTTGTAAAAGAAACCCTCAGGGATTCCCCTGTGATCCCTTTAATCCTTGAATTGTCAAACCACATGGAAAATAATAGAGCTGCGTAGTTCTAAGACTTAAGTGGTATTATCTTTTTAAAAGAAAATATTAGGTCTTTTCACATCTATGGACAAGAATAGAGTATGTGTTCAGTGCAGAAAAGAGTAACTTTGAGCCATAGATGCATATGGCTTTTTTCATTTTTAATATATTATTATGTATGACTAAGCAGGCTGCATTCAGTAGGAAAAATTATAACCAATATTTTATTTTTCTTTTTTAAAACAGATGATTCAACGAGAAGCGGATGTGAAAAGTAAGGTAACTGCTGTGGCACTGACAGACTCTGTTCACAATGTATGGCATCAAGAAGCTGGGAAAACGATTCGGGAATGGATGAGAGAGGTGAGACTTGATTTGTTCAATATTGCATGAATGGCTGTGAGTCTTTATATCTTGAACTCCCACCAACATTTATCACCTTCTACTTCCACAGTCCCTTTGGAGAAGCAGAACATTGAGAGGAAACAGGAAAAACTGCATGCAGTTAAAGTAATAATAGAAAACCCTCCAGAAGAACAAATGATTTTTTTTAAAGCACCTCCCTGCCCTTTGGCTTTCCATAAAATATTATGTATGCATGCAATATATGTTAGAATTTTGGCTAAAGAGTGATGTGGTCTAAGGAGACTCTTATTCTCAGATGTTTAATTTTTCCACTATTTAGCATTGGTACCTCTTAATGACAAAAAAAGAAGCTTAGTGAACACTCAAGCCTTGTCCTTTTCTTATGGAAAAACAGTAAGGATGTGCCACTCTTGAATTGATTGGCTTACTACTGCCAGTAGGGGGAGAAGAAGTAAAAAGCTAAAATAGTATTATACCAAACCCTTGAGCAAGGAGAAAGTAACCCAGGCCCTGGCCATTGTCTAGCCTCAGACTAAGAAAGCATCTTTTTATACTTCCTAAGTGCTGGTGAATCTGAAAACTAACAAGGCCTCATAGAGCATGATTTTTTTTTTCTTTTTTCCAAAAGTTTCAGCCCATTATTTCCTTTATTCTATTCCAGATATCCAGTTGAAATTTTTCTTTTATTTTATATTTACATTTCTGATATTATAAGCAGTTGATATCAGCTATCCCACAACAAATCAATAATAATCATAATTAATAATTAGCTATAGCAATTGTTTAGTCACATAATTTATTTGCATGCATATGAGTGAGCTGATTAATCTTCCTACATTTCTCTCAGGGTATTTTTGTTTATTTGGGTTTTTTGAAGTGCTAGGGATTGAACCCAGGGCCTGGCACATGCTAGGCTTGTGCTGTTCTGCTAAGCCACACCCTAACCCCCTTGGGTTTTGTTTATAGAATATCTGAATATCTCTTTAGCTGGCCTCTCACTATAGGAATGTGTGGTGGATAAATTCTACTAGGCTTCATAATCCACTATAAGAACCAGAGAGTTAATGTTCAAAAAGAATTTTGAGTAGATAGAAGTATATGATATATTACATGCACCATATATTTGTATTTTTAGTGTCACCAATCTGCTATCACTATTGTTATTCTCCATTAGAAAAAGTGCTTTTAACACATGGAAAGTCCAAAATATTTTTTCCAGTACTTATAATACTATAAACTTATAAAGGAGCTGGGGGTTAAATCAATTCTAATACAGAGATGCTTTCTGACCACATCACTTTGCATGTTTTTCCTTTCACAGTAAGTAAATCAGTACTTATGGTTCTAGCATGTACCAGCTACTTCACTAACACTTATACTCTTAGACAAGCCACTCCATCTTTTTGGCCTGCTTCATAATTGTAAATTAGAGATAATAATTTCTATGCTGTGTCCTTCATGATCTCTTCTTACAAGAATCAAAGGTGATGATCAAAAAGAAAACCTCCTGGGCTGGAGTTGTTACTCAGTGGTAGATCACTTGCCTAGCACACATGAGGCACTGGGTTTGATCCCCAGCACCACATAAAAATAAATAAACTAAATAAAGGTATTTTAAAAATGATACTATGTTTAAAAAGAAAAGAAAAGAAAACCCCCTGAAAAGCAAATGGCAGTACATAAAGAGATGAGATATATTATTATAGCAAACACTATACTATCTCTGAGATAAAAGTTATTTGATCATTCTTGGTTGAATTTTGAAATTATCCTTGCTGAGACCTCTTCCAAAATGACAACCAAAATGGAGGGTATACAAGTCTGTGACAAATGTCCTTGTCTAATCTACCTGTGTATGTGAGAAGATTTCATTGTGATTTGGCAAGACAAAAGCTCAATGTTTCCAACACTCAGAATGAAACTTCATTCCCTCTTTCTCATTTTCAGTACCTTTCCACACTATAAGACCCCTCAAAATTATGAAGAACAAACAAGCCTGGATTACAGTAAATAGGAAGGGCTGTTGTAGTGATCATGAGTTTTGGGAGAAGGTACTCTAGAGCAAACTTTGTTTCCCTCAGCAGCCCTCTTCCTACCACCTCCTATAGTTTCATTTGAGATCAATAAACACACTGAGAAATTTTGTAGTTATCCTTCCCAAGAAAAATACATTAGCTAAGCTGGAGTATTGTCCATAAAAATAGCAGTTTGGTTGTGAAGGAAGCCTTAGTGCTTTTATCCTCTTGATGAATGGCTTCATTATTGCATCAAACATTGCTTTAAAATTTGTAAGTAAAACAATGGTACAAATTGCCTAGTCATTCCTATTATACTAAAAAATAGTAAAATTGGTTTTGCTTTGCAAGCATTTTTAATGTAATAAAATTATTAATGGTAAGCTTTTTACTATAAAAGCTGTCATTTGTTTTAAACTTATCAATTTAGCATATAACACAAAGATTAAGAAGTATATCTTGTTTTACTTGTGTAATTTTTAAATAATAATTCCTGTGCTGGGATATAGCCTAGTGGTAGAGCATTTACCTAGTACATACAAGGCCCTGGGTTTGATCCCCAGCACTGAAAGTATAGTAATAATAATAATAAGGAGAAGAAGAAGGAGGAGGAGGAGAAGGGAGAAAGGGAATAATAATAATTCCCTTTAAAGGGAGAAGATCAAAGAGGGCTACTTTTGATAATTGCTCCAAGTAAAGGACTAAGCATAGATGGTAGGCCAGTCTCAGGAATGGAGGTAAAAAGCAACTAAAGGCAGCTCCTAAGAGGCACTTCTCAGAACTGAGTGGCCTCTGAAAGTCTCTAGCCAAACCAGATGTACAGTTTTGTGGAATAGTCGTGGTTTCTTCCTGTTTCTTTCTGTCACCCTTCAGCTCTGATTGGAGGCTCTAGAAACAGCCTAGTGAATCATAGTTGTACTTGTCTGAAGATACAGTGTCTTCCATATTAAAAAATCACTCTTTAAATCAGTTGTTATGTACATTTCAGACAAATGCAAAAATAGTATGAAAAAACCTAGACTCAATCAGCAGAGGAAGCATCTCCAAATACCTTACACAGGAATAGCCACTACCTACTTTTCTCTTTAAATATAGTAGATCCTAGCATTCCTATAAAATTTTTCATTTCATATCTACTTTGAAATACTGTAAACCCTTGGTTCAAGTTAAATGGAGTTGCCCAAGCCTTAGGTCTTCTATATCAGTAGATTCCAAACTTTTGGCTTATACAAAGAAGAATTTTTACAATGACAAAAATCTGTAAAGTCATAATCTCAAAGATCTTACAAAAAAATTTAAATTGAAAATACTTAATAGCATTCATGCCATTGTCTGTTTTCTCTTTCCTTCAGACCCAGAGAAACACTCATTTTGCGATTCATCCTAATCTGCTGGCTGTGGCCAAAGGCTTCTTTCTTTATGCTTCTTCATGTTAAGGGGCACTGCATCTGAGACTCAAGCATGAAACTTTTGGTATTTCTAGTCCAACATGCCTTGTTGCTTACTCAGGGCACCTGAGAAAAAGCTCTCAAAGGCTGCTAACACATACCATTCAAATTTCAAAAAAATTCAAATTTTGAATTTATGTAGGGCTTTCCTAGTGGGCTATCTTTGTTGCCACCTGAAATACTTTAGTAGTGTTTATCCTGACTAAAGAACTGGAATGAGGGCTAAATTGGGACATTGATAAGAACAATAGATAAGCATTAGAAAATAGTGAAAGATACTAGGTTTGTAATTATAGAAACTTAGCATGGGGAGTCAAGTGTGATAAAATGGAATTTCAGATGTTGAATTCATATGTAATAGCTATTTGAATTTCTTACATGTATTTTCCAATGTTTATGTTTTTTAAATTTCATTATACTCTTTATCATATGGCAAACATTTTTAGCTTGTTTTGCCTTGTTTTCTATATAATTTTCTCAGTAGGGTAAAAATGCCACATACGTATACACAAATTTATAGTTTCAAACCTTTACGGTTCTATACAGGTACTTTGTCATTCCATAGAACTTTGGGGCATATTCACTTCAGCTGTAGGGTGCTTAACTTCTTTCTGATTTTTATGAGTGATCAAAGGCTAAGACATATGCTTAGATAAAAACTGAAATTTCTGAATCGTAAAACGTGAACATGTACTTTGAGTCAGTGTTTGAGTTAAAGGTGATCTGAAGAACCTGGACAAAAGTTCATTTTGCTCAGCTTTAAAAAGTCAATAACAAGTTAGAAAATGATTAATCTCCTGCATATTATAATGTACCATCACTTTTATTAATACTAGAAAAGCTTGTGAAACATAGTTTTACATATGTGAACTGTAGGTGAACAGTATTAAAAGACTGACATATTACCTGGGTAATAGCCAACCTTCATTAGATTTGGAGGTACTAGTCAGATGAATAATAATTAAAATATATACCTAATCGCTGCCTGTCTGTTGGTAGTGCTAATTGCTGTCATTGAAAAGACTGAATTGTTTAAGAAAAAGAGAAAGAAAGAGAAAGTCATTCTTCATTGAAGCTATCTCCCTGTATCATTGGGAGCCTATTTTTAGTACCTATAGAAGTCATGATTTTTGAATTTATTAGGGGCTGTGATGAATGATAAAACAAATCATCCATTTACATATCTTGACACTGCTTTGGAGAATACTTATTTCTTACAAGCAAGTGTCACATTGTATATAAAAGCTGGCTAATTGTGTGCTAATCTTCTGCATTATCTAGAATTCTCTGATGTGGTATTCTATCAATGGTAATATTAATTTTACTTATTTCAAATGTATGAAATATCTTCTGAAACTATTTCTTTTATAATTTCTACTCTCTTACATTGTATAATTTTGCATTCAGCTGCTAATTAAGATTAGGAGTGCACATTGTAGAGTACGTATCCATTCTAAACTGGCAAGCTTTTATAATACATGAAAATAGTAATATTTTATCCATTTTAAATATAAAAAGAGAGAAAGCATTTAAGAACATTACTAGATGTTGTGTTTGTTTTCATGTTTTTTTTCCCTGCACAGTTCAATAGTTTCATTGATCCACTGTTTCTTACAAAAATCTGCCATGCTTTGTGAACTTCACTTTCTAATCTCATACAGCAACCCTTCCTTTATATTATTCCTGCTCTCTCTGGTCCCAGAACAGTAGGGTTGCCTTGACAAATCTATTCAAAAGCCATTCCTCGGCCTTTATTGGTGGGGACTGGGGCCTTTGAAATTCTCTCCTCACTGCAACACAGCTGACATCTTCTTCCAGACAGAATGAATTAAGGAAATACAATAAGACACTTGATCTACCAGTCAAGGATCTTTCCACAGTGAAGACGGATTCCATGGTGCACAACCAGGGCAGCAAGCATCTATAAATACACAATACATGCTTGTTTACCAGAATAGCAATCACTGATTTTTCCTACATGATTGATGGGATGATTTCTTTTAAAATAAAATCTGTCTGGAAATTGAGTATGTGTGTGTGTGTGTGTGTGTGTGTGTGTGCGCGCGCGCGCACGTGCATGCACACAACTGAGAAATTTTCTAAAGCCATATGATTTTAATATCTTTTTAATCCATAATTAAAATGCATACTTAAAATGTATAAAAGAAATAGAGTATTTTTATTTTGTTTGTCTGAGTTGCAAATCATCATCACCTTAGAGACTGATCTTTAAAACTGAAAAGTTTGTGTCCTCAGATACACAGCTGCAGTTCACCAGGGGAATTTCTATATAACCACTTTGATACAGCCTTCATGAAGCAAGTCAAAGTAAAAATTAAAAGAGTACATTTATATGGGCCAGATTTTGAGGAGTAAAAGCAAAATTCATTTCTTCTAGTATTCCACAAAGAGTATAGTTTAGAAATTAGCTATTCTTTCCTATGTCAAAGTAAGAATCATTTCTAAAAGTTTTTAAAGGATATCTGTTTAAATTTTTCTTAATTATAATCCCTTTATTCACATGTTTCTTGGCATCTAACCTTTTCTTAGAAATATAGTATATCAGAGTTCACAGAAGATTACATGTATTCTTAATATTAGCACAGATGATTTGCTAAAACATAAAAATATACTTTTTCCAGTCTTTTTTGTCATGAAAAATTATTATTTACATAAGAAAAATATTTTAAATATATGATAAATAAATTGAATATACTTCCAGTTATTGGTTTTATAAGACAAATTTATCTCTTTCAACTGAATATTTGGCCATGGTTTCAAATGTGTTTCAACCACATTATCTCTTTTACATTGCAGAACTGTTGTAATTGGGTCTCTAGCTCAGAACCATTAGATACATCAGTGGAGTCCATGCTACCTGACTGTCCCCGAGTCTCAGCAGGTATGAGTTTGATTAAAGATATGTGGGTTTGTCTTTTTTTTAAGGTTAAAAACATGCCAATGAGATGTATAATCCTTTTTTTGGGAATTAAGTATGTTGTGCTACCTAGAATTGTTGAAAGAATTATTGGTAGTATATGACATCAATCTAATCCACTATCAAAATTTCTTCAGAAGCTTAAAATGCTTACCAAAACTTCAGTAAGATAAATAAGTGAGATAAATTAATAGTAATAGAAAGTTGCTATTGGAGCTTGGATAGACAATGCCTAAAAAAGACAGACTGGTAGCCATATAGAATTTTTCACAGGATATTTATCTCTGATCGAGCACCAACCCCATGATAAGTCAGGCAGTCAAGACTATTGTATGGCCTAGAGTCTTTAGGAAAAAAAAGTTTTTTCATGCTAAGATTTTTAGCTGGACCTTGTGTGTTAGATAGAATTTAGATTGTGGGAAGACAAGCAAGATGGCATCGTAGGTAAAAGAAACAGCAGTACAAGGAGCAGGGACTGGAATAGATCTGAAGATGTTCACAGAGAATAAAGGCAAGACTGGCCTGCCTGTTGAAAGGAAGGAGGTGAAGAGGTGAACACCTCAGGAAGCATTTGGAAGAAAATGTAAGGATGGCATTGTTTCCAGCCTACAGGGTCTGTACGTGAGTCTCTGGGTAAGGAAAGAGAGTGGCATTGTCGTTGCTTTCTTATTTTGGCTTTCACAGCTCCCAACCAATTTGTATGATAACACAAAGTGAGCAGTGGTATCAGATTGTGACTAATAACAGAAATGGACTTTTCTGGCCATGAATTCTGGATAATAAGCAGAATAAGCAGATATTTGGAACACAAACTACTCCATGTAACAATCATAGGTGATAGTTAATCCCTAAGTGTCTTAGAATTGCAGAGATGTTTACATATTGGGAGAAAATAATTTGGAGAATAACTCAAATTCTAGGTAATGAACTATTGTGATAATTAAATACCACTACCATTAATACATAAACTTCAGGTGAGTTTCACTATCACTATAGCTAAATTTTTATAAGTTTCTCAGAATTTAATTGTAAAAGCAGCCCTTAGGAGATTTGTACATTAAAAAACACCCAGACACAGACACACACACAAACACACACACACACACACACACACACACACACACACACACACACATGAATATGTTTATATACATAATTTATGTATGTATTTGTATACATATATTATACAATGTATTTTCATTATTCATGGTGATTATATTCTATGAAGTCACTGAGAACACCAAATTAGCAAATACTGGATCATTATTCTTGAGGGATGTATAGTGTCATGTTCCTGTGAGCCTCTGGTCACATTTTTGTCAACCAATCAATATATAAATTTGTTTTATATGTTTCTGTTTAAAGACAACTCATTTAATATACATTGTTGAGTCATTAACATTGAACTCATGGCCAGCAGTACTAACTCATGCCTAAACAAAACTGATCTACCATACATATTTTCTCCATAAGATGCATCACAGCCTTTTCATACTTATGAATACTAGATAGCACCTCAGCACTATATTTGGGGGCCATTTGAAACAGAGAAATCACAAAAATATGGAAAAACATGATACTAAGTCATCTGGGAAAGGACACTTGTTTACAGTGTGAGAGCTGAAATAAGAAGGAAGAGTATGGCCTTGTTCAACTTTAGCTAAGAACAGTGACTCAATTTTTTAACCTCTCTGCACATGCACATGTCTGTGAATGATTGAAAAACTGCCATGTTGATTTTGATTTTAGGGTTACAAATAAATTTTAGTGAATAACTGAATTTAGAAATATGGAATATACAAATAATGAAGACAGACTGCATTATTTCAGTATAAAAGAAAACATTTGACCAGAACTAGTGAAACAGTGTCAGTAAGTGTTAACTTTGCATTTGATCCTGGAACTTGAGTCCACAAAGCAAATACCTAGTAAAGGAAGCTAGATATAAAGTGGCAGAGAGCAAGAATGAGCTAGAACCCATAAACAAGAGCTGGAATCTATGAAAAGATGGAGATGAACTGAAGTCCATCTCAGTTTTTATTGCTTCTGTTTTTGGTCGTCTGGATATCCCGTAGAAGTGTTTGCCCTTTGTCATATGGAGCTAAACACACATATATCTGTACCAGGAGTCGGAGATGCTGGAGAACTCAAGAGAAGGTAGAGCAGATGCCATCCTAGTTATTGCCTCACACCATAAGATGAGCCAGCAGATAAGTGACAACATGTGTGTGCTAGAAATGCTGCTGTCTCACATTAAGCCTCCAAATTTCCCACCAAATGGAAAAAAAAAAAAATCCCTTGTGTACCATCCTAACCAGAAACATAGGAAAAATAATTCTGGAAAATGTAATTCAACCTAGCCAAATTTACACATTAAAAATCTACCACAATGGCCCCCATGCCAATTTGGCATACTTCTCTTTAAGACACACTTAATTTCCAGTTAAAGAAATTAATAAAGTCATACTTGCATCTAACATGGTACAGCTACCCCATGTACAACTGAAAACATACCTACCCTTTTCCCAGAAGTAGGTACAAAGTCTTTTTATTGTCCTTGCCTTACAGCATTCTTCTCACCTTTGGTATCCTATAATTTAAATATTGTATGATAAAGTTATTATTGATACATCTTAGATGATAAAGGAATAAAAGACAGTGTAATGAATCGGACATAATATTATGGCCCATGTACATATATGAAAACAACACAGTGATTCCCACCATCATGTACATCCAAAAGAACGGAATCCTAATGAGAATAAAATATATCCCATGCTTGTGTAATTATATCAGAATGGATTCTGCTGTCATGTATAACTGAAAAGAACAAATAAATTTTTAAAATACTTTAGTTGTTGATGGACCTTTATTCTATTCATTTATTAATATGCAATGCTGAGAATCAAACCCAGTGCCTCACCCATGTGAGGCAAACATTCTACCATTGAGCCACAACCCCAACCCAAGAACAAATAAATTTAAGAAAATAGAAAAAGAGGGGCTGGAGTTGTGGCTCAGCGGTAGAGTGCTCATCTAGCACATGTGAGGCCCTGGGTTCGATCCTCAGCACCACATAAAAATAAAATAAAGGTATTATGTCCAACTACAACTAAAATAAAATATTTTTAAAAAGAAAATAGAAAAAGAATGAAAGAGGAGACAAAAACTAAAATAGTGTGTATGTCTGCATACACATATTCATGTCAAAATAAAGAAGGGGCTGGAGCTGGAGCTCAGTGATAGCGCACTTGCCTGGCATGTGTGTGAGACACTGGGTTCGATTCTCAGCATCACATATAAATAAATAAAAAGTCTATCAATAATTAATATATACATATATTTTTTAAGAGAAGAAATTCTATTACATTCTTTATTTTTTGCAACTGATCATGTAGTCATATCTGATATTTATGTCTGCCGTCTTCAACTACCTGTTCAGTATTCCCATTGCTTTTAGCAGGTACCTTAGCTGATTAACATTCCTTGCCTGGAAAAATGACCCATACTTTCATTCTTGAAGAATCATGGCCATTAGCCTGAATTAGATTGTTGTGGTATCCTGAATTAGATTTTCCTCAAAGAGTCCTTTAAAATAGTTGTGGTAAACTATTGATAGTAATTCGAGAAAGTACTAGCAGACACACCAGAGCACTTCCTGTATTGCAGACATATTTTTCCTTACCCCTATTGTGTAGTAGATACTCAGTTTTCCTTTGGAAATGAGGATCCATAATCCACCCTGTATAGCAATACTCTCTACTTCTGTTGATTCCACTTAAGGAGCTCAAAAATGACAAGACAGTAGTTTCAGCTTACATTTCTGTGGAATCATTATTTTATCTCCCAATGGAAACATTTCTCCCTGTGGAGCCAAGACATTTATACCAGGAGAGTCTAAAGTCAGACCATGGGAAACAGCAGTTTTCCTAGTGAATCCTAAGGGTAATAGGAAGAAAAGCTGATCCACTTTTATCCCTTCACCCCCAGATTGAGGGTAAATAGACTGTATATTAAATGCTGATTTAGAGTGAATTCCATATCCTGGAAGACATTTTTCCAGATCTGCAAGGTGTTACCACCTAGCAGGCATCATAACAATCTCCCAAAATTCATTCCACCATTCTGTCAAGCCTGCTGCTTGAGGATAAAGGGGAACATGGTAAGACCAGTGAATGTTGGCAGACCTTAGGCTCTCTCTTGTCTTCTTGCCTGCTCACTCTGATGGAAACCAGCTGCTGTGCTGTAAGCTGCTCTGTGGAGAAACCCACATAGTAAGGAGCTGGTATCACTGGCCCAGAGCCAGTAGGGCTTAAGGTCTGCCAACAGCCACTGAGTGACCTTGGAAAAGGATTCTCCCCTAGTTGAGCCTGGAGATGACTTCACCCTCAGCCAACACCTTGATTGTAGCCTGGTAAGAGACCCTGAGCCAGAGCCAGAGCCTGAGCCACCCAGCCAAGCTGTGTTCAATTTCTGACCCACACAAACCATGCGATAATAAGTGTTTCATTGTTTTAAACTGCCAAGTTTGGAGGTAATTTATCCCATAGCAGTGGATAATTATTGCATCAGGGTTAAACTTCAACTGTGGTGGTCACTCACAGCTCAAGTAGAAACCACCTTAATCCTTTTTTTGAGACCACAGCCTTGTAAGGCTCATCTTAGCTCTAATCTTAGGGTTTGTTTCCAAAGAAATTATAAAATGGTCATTGAACACAGTTTATTTCTACCTTTGCTCCTCACTACCTGGCTGAACTTTGCTGTGCAATTTATCAGAAATAAGATATTACTTTTTATCTTTATCATACCCACTTGATATTATACTAAGTCATCTTAATTATTTAGCTCTTCTCTGAACGAATTTTTTTCTTGGACAGAACTTGCTATGCAACCCTCTATTTCCTGTGGGGTTTGACCTAAATCAGAAGATTTCACATATACACCTCAGCACATATCCATTTAGT